ACGAGGCCGTGGCAGCATTTGCCAGCTAAAATTGCACACGGGTCCGAAGGAAAATATGAATACTTGGTTATTCCTCCCGCACTAGTGCATATTCCAGGTCAATTTTGACCCGGGCCAAGAATATCTTCATAATCATTGTCGAAAGCAAAAAATGTGTGAATAGCCTGGGGAAAATGTATTTTTGCCGGCGCCGATGTGAAGCCTGTGTCAAGGCACCCAGCCATCTCTACATGATTTCCGTTCCTTATGTTGAGTATGAATAATCATTTTTCCGATTTCCGTTCCTTATGTTGAGTATGAATAATCATTATTATGCAGTTGTACTATTTCACCGTTTCAAGATTTCCCCCGTGACTTTTCAAAGACCAATCGGGGCATGTTTCCATGGGAACTGGTGCGAATGCGGTGGGGACACAAACAGCACTCTGGACTGTTTCATGTGCCTCTTGAACACTGTTACCACTGTCCCAGAGAAAGCGCACGCATTGATGGAATTTACAGTTTCACGCTTTCAGGATTTCCACCATTTTCCTTCATTGAACAAAAACTAGTAAATCAAAACTTCCAGTCGCCAATCTCCATTTTAGAAGAAACAATGTAAGTGGCCCAAGCATTGGCAAACAAAATGTAAAAAGTCAATTTTCACTTTTAAAGAAACCCTAACCTTATCCCGAATCCTGAACCTAACTCAACAGCAATGCAATCCATCTCAACAGGATAAAGACGCCACTATTTCCTTTCATTGATATATCCCAACCGGCGTGGGGGGGGGTCTAAGCAGTGTTGCACAAATAGGACGATTTGGGCTTGTGTGGATGGAGGGCAGCCTCACACGATGGCAGCACAAAGAGATAGGATGGATTTGTAAGTGCTGGCAGAATGCTTTCAATAAAAAGGCACGAGGCTCTTCATGAATGGACTATTGTGGAGCCGTGAATGGAGGCTTTTTCGCTTTCTGCCTTTTGCCGACGATGAAATCCCTCACACACTGTCCCCCTCTAAATCTCTGTCCACCTTATCCCTTCGGAAAAACAAAACGAGAATAAAGACTATTTCCTTTCATTGGTATATTCCAACCGGCGTGGGGGCGGGGGGGAGGCAGTCTAAGCAGTGTTGCACAAATAGGACGATTTGGGCTTGTGTGGATGGAGGGCAGCCTCACACGATGGCAGCACAAAGAGATAGGATGGATTTGTAAGTGCTGGCAGAATGCTTTCAATAAAAAGGCACGAGGCTCTTCATGAATGGACTATTGTGGAGCCGTGAATGGAGGCTTTTTCGCTTTCTGACTTTTGCCGACGATGAAATCCCCCACACTGTCCCCCTCTAAATCTGTGTCCACCTTATCCCTTCGGAAAAACAAAACGAGACTGTCGTCAAGAGGAATGGAAGCAATATCGCTACTTCCAACGTTAACTTTTGGAATTTACACCAAAAAAGGTTTGCACTTATTCAAAATTTGGATGCTTGTCGATGTTTGGAGCACAATATTTACCAAATGTTTATGCAAACTAAATGTGATCCATTAAACGGCTGGAGAGCTTGGGAAAATTTTATAATACACATTTACACGACGAACAGTTTTCCAATAAAGCCAATAAAGACAGTCAGGGGCGTGTTGGCCATTGGGATGTTCCGGAGACGTCCCATACGGCCAGATTGGCTGCTTCATATGAAATGTCTCAAAACTTGATGTGCAAGAAAAGAAATGTAGAAATTTTTAAAACCAGCATTAAAAATACATTTAGGGACACATAAACCCATCTCAGATGAAAATTTGTCGTTGACCTATGTAATCAACAATGAAAATAAGAGCTAGAGACATGCAATGAGGCTTAAAAGTCTTGAAAAGTCAGAGTATGACACATTTGTCTGAATAAAAAAAAATAAATTGGCGAAAAACTACCACACCACCCAAAAAAAGTCTCTTAGTCTGAAGTAAATAAACGCCACAAGGCAGATAACACAAATTAGAAATACAGAAACAGATTTACAGAAAGGACTATTCCAATAAGTACATATAGAAAAATCTGAAAAGTTAGAAAATAACAATTACAAAAAAAATTAAGAAATCTGAAAAAAAAAAACAACAAAAAAAACTAATTGCTTCCTTTTTCGAAATATTTCGCTGAAAAATGTGTCGGGAAAAATCATGAAATTTTAAAAGCACGGCAAATTTTTGAAAAAAAAAAAATCTGAAAAATCTGGATGGCTGGATAGCTGGATGGAAGAAAAGGGGCCCTAGTACACTACCCTGAGGAACATCACAATCATGACATCAGACATTTAATTATTTAATTTAGATAGCTCAATCGAGAGATGAGAAGAAGTCAGGCGGATACAGTATGTGTCAATTATTGTAATCAGCCCCAGTTGCGTCGACCCTGGAAATATTGTCCTTGCTCTCACCTTCACCCCAACCCAAGTTCAACATTTGCCGAGTTGATAAGCAGCGATGGAGTATGCGGCGTGGCACCTCGCCAAACCAGCGTGTTTATTTATAGCCATCAATATTTAATTGAGTTTACTCTAATCTTCCGTCAGTGCTCGCACACGAGTCTCCGCTCGCCCCTTCAAGTAGAAAAATTAATTGGAGCGCAGATACTGTAAGGAGGCTCGTCTTAATTGTTCGAGGAGAGCAGGTAGCGGCTCGAGTAGTGTGGGCATGTGCGCGCTTACACACACACATACGCAGCATTCTTTTGCAAACTGCTGCGACCCTGTTCATTCTTTTCAGTAATTTTTGCTAACCTTCCACTAAGATAGTTAACCATCTGCCGAACATTTATGTCAGAATTTTGGGGGGCTCGGAACGGATTAGGGCATTTACATGGAAAACGCGTCTATACTATACTATAACCTAACTTTTCTAGTGAACAAATTTCCTCCGGAACCAATTAATTTCGTAAGTAGAGGTACCATCAGTAATTTTTGCTAACCTTCCACTAAGATAGTTAACGATCTGCCCAAGATTTATGTCTGAATTTTGGGGGGCTCGGAACGGATTAGGGCATTTACATGGAAAACGCGTCTATACTGTACTATAACCTAACTTTTCTAGTAAACAAATTTCCTCCGGAAACAATTAATTTCCTAACTAGAGCTACCAGAGTTCTTGCAAATATGGCCGAATGTATTTGCAAGTATGTTCGAATATTTTCGGTAGCCAAAAATATTTACTCAACGTTGGCTATTTTGTACTATTGTTTCTTCAATCAATGACTGCAAGAAGAAATACTTTGAAGCTTGGGTCTTACAAAGTTAATCATGGTTCACCTTTTTCATGTGTTGAAAATCAAGTTTTTGGGGGATCAGAGTGTATCACCGTAAGGTCTCTCCCGATAGAAAGTATATGACAATAAAGCGGGTTTGGACGTGAAGGAGCTTTGTGTTCCCGTTGTCAACCCGCAGGCCTCGCAGACAACACACTTTATGTTTTTGGCATGTCGCTTTAAGGCGGATAACGATCAATCCATTAAGGCGACAAGAGTGGAGGTTGCGAGCAAGAAGACAGGAGATCGGATTTACAATCAGAGATGTTGTGCGTACTGAAGATGTTTTTTTCTTTTTTTTAATTAGAATTTTATTAAGAGTCTTTATATAGTCTCCTCTAAGCCACCACGATCAGCATTATCCCTGTCCAAACAACACACTGTCAATCTGCGCCTCACACGGAAAGCATGATGCCAGCGAAGGGAGGGAAAAGTGCACAAATGATTGGATTTAGATTAGCGGGGCTCTTTTTTAATGGCTTTGAAGTAATACCACAACGCAGCCTAAAGTCGCCCGAGGCTTATACATCCATTCCGCGTGTGTCGGTGTGTGTGTCAGTGTGTGTGTGTGTGTGTGTGTGTGTGTGTGTGTGTGTGTGTGTGTGTGTGTGGGCGCATGCGCGGGAGTAAGAGAAAGAGCTCTATCGCTTAGGTTCTTTGTCTTCTTAGTTATTAAAATATACATTGGACTATATTATTATTAAAATTGTCATTATGGCATTGTCTTGTATTATTATCACTATTGGATGATTTCATTTATTTTTGTGATTTTTTTTTGTCATCTCCCAAGTACTCCATATAATGGTATTTTACAAAAAAATGGAATTCTCTTTTTTTTCCTGTATTTTTTCCGACATTTTCTGAAGTTATATGAAAAGATTTGTATTGATGTTTAGGTTTTATTTCCCCCCCCAATATTTTATATATTTTTTTCCAAACATTGTTGGTATGAACATTCTGAAAGTGCTAAAATACGTTCTTACAATTATTGCATCCTTTTACAATTTTCTTAATCATTTTGTGTTTTATTATATTTAATAATTATTCATATGTGCAAGGTTTTTTTTTTTTTTTACCACTCTGGTGTTTTGAAAGGTACATACAAAGAAAAAGTATTTTAGTCCATTACTTTTTGTTTTCAGGCCATACATTAAAAAAAAAAAAAAAAAAAAGTATTTTCTGATTATTTGTCATACTGCTACGATTCGGTTTTTTATCTTTTGAGTCATCGTTTTCCATGCATAGCTTCCTTTGCGTTTTGAAAGGCACTTGGGATTAAAGTGATCAACATTACAGTACTTTTGTCTGTTTTCCGTCTTCTTTTAGAGCTGTGATGAAGCATGCTTGTAATTATGATTAAAATGTAGCTCATTTGTGAAACTGCCACACTTTGATTGCTCAGAGCAAAACAGCCCATTTATATATTTGTTGCGAAACAATACGTTACAATCCTGTTCAAATAGAATTTACGATCTGACATGCACCCACAGGACAATAAGAAACTTCCTTCATTTCACCAGAAGGTCACTGAACAAGTACTTTGCATGCATTGCAAAGGTCACTTCAGTGCCCAATCCACTCTGGTCTCAGATAGGTTACTGCTACCCTTAAAGGGCATTCCATGTACATATGGTATGAAACAAAAGATTGCAGTTCAGGAACAAGTTGAGTAAACCGAGTACTATTCAGTTCGCCGTGCTTGGTCAAATACGCCTTCATGGACTGTGGTTTTTCAGTTTTACAATTCACTTAGCATTGGTTATGTATGCTAGCCATACGGAAAAAAGGCCTTACCCTGTGATGTAATATCCAATCACTGTCGTCCGCCATCCTTTCACTGTTGTCATGGCATCCGGGTCCAGACGGGTTAAACGTTGAGCACTATAGTGAAGGAGTTGAGAGACAATAATGTCATACATAGACACAGACATAGTGCGCGCACACACACACATACACACACACACACAGTATTTGTGTGTGTGTATGTACTGTACATATATGACCAGAGTACTCTTGTATGTCGACATGCGTTGCTGCACCATTTGTGTTTAATCCATTGCTTAAAGGGTTATAGCACTGAAACATAAATGTGTTTAGCGTTAGCATTAAGCTAGGTTAGGTGTTTTTTTTTAAGACACAAAGTGTAGTTCTCTTTGTTTTGTTTGACAGTAAACTTGAGTGGCGAAGACCAAGTGGATACGCAGGTGAATTGAGCCTTCCGCCATCTAGCGGGAAAGTAATCGTTCAGCCTGTCTCGATTTGTCACTCGTTTAGGGAGACGCGCGAAGACACGTTATTTGAGTCAAATAGTAAATCATTTTTGGCTTGATGAAGTGATTTCCCACAGCGCAGTGGTTGGGAATCACTGGAGCCGACAACAGAGTTGACGGGAGATGTTGGGGGGGAGGCGAGGGGGAGTCGAAGAAGATAAGAGCTGACATGGTCAAGTCCTCTGTGGCCTCGCTTTCCTTGGTGGACACACACCAGCCGCCAGCAATTATCTCTGCTCCCAAATACCCATTCTTCTTCTACGGGAGCAAAAGGAATAATGTTGGCCCCCATTAAATGGACAAACGATAAGCACACAGCACTGACTTATATCCGAGTTCAGTGAGTGGAGCCGAAAAAAAAAAAAAAAACGAGTGGGGTTTGGGTTAAAACCATAAAACCCTTATGGATGCTTTTAAATATTACAATTATGTCAATTTGGCAATATTCAACACAACATGTTTGAACATTGAGTTGGTCATATCTATGCATCACATACCGTATATGCATCTGCTTGGTAATGTATTTATTTTTTTTAATCAGCCCAGATTGTGCGTACAAGCGCTTTGAGTTCCTGAGAGGGTAACACGCTTTGAAGCCTATTCGTTGCTTTCTTTACAAGAGTCTGATTGTGCATCGCTTTTTTTTTTTTTTTTTTGTCAAGAGTCACTGCTGCCTCCAAGGAACTTCTCAAGAACACTTCCTACTTGCCTTTGATAGCTGCAAATATCACAAGTGTTAAGTGGCAGGGGATTCACAACATTATTTTTTTTTTACCTCACATTCACACCTATGGCACATTTTGGTTTCCCTTTCATTTACCTTCAGCTCCTCTTCTCCGATTGTCATTAAGATTAGTGGCCGCAGTTTGGATCCGTTGACTTTCCACTATTTTCTTCGAAAAGCTCCTTAGCCGGCGCGCTGCCTGTCAACCTGAGACGTGGCGACCTTTGCCGTTGATGACCCCCTCCTCTTCTTTTGCCGTTGCACTTGTGGCCCCAGCCTCCCCCTGATGCAAGACATTAGGCGTCTAATTGAAGCTGACAGCCGCGTCAATTGGAACGACGTCAGCCGAGTGAGGGGAGATTGTGCAATAATTAAGAGCAGCATCCGCGTTGCTCTGTTCGAGGGAGATATTTTTCCTGCAGTTTGTTTCGTCACTAGGTTTTATGGTTGGAGGGGGCGATGGGTTTAGCCACCAGGAGATGTACAATGGACTGATAGCTTTCAAAAAGTTGAAGTAACCATTACATTCAAAGTATGTTTACCTGGGAAGTATGTTTTACAAAATTAACCCAAAAAATGTAAACATTGTATCCAGTCCACACAAGTTCATGCAAACAAAGGGTGCTATATTTACCTTAACTTCTTCTGCCTGCTTCCAGATGCTACACTGAAACACATTTCATTGTTAACTGATCAAGTGCCGCGGGCAAATGACATGATTTGGCCTCGCAGTACAAGTATCCGTTTGCTCCCAGATACTTTTGAAGTCATCGAGGTTACATTTCGGTGCACCGTGGGACTCGAGGAAGTGTCCGCTAGCAAGATGCGCATCAAGCTAATAGCAGCCGGTTTGAGGAGCAAGCATAGTCGTGTGGAAACCATGGAACGCATGATCGGTAATGAGGACACGTCAGAATGATGGCAGTGAAAACATGGACTGGCTTTCGGCTAAAAATGACATTTTCTAAACGATAAAGTGGAAAGGATTGCATAACGTTAATCGAATCATGATTGCAACCAAATGATTTAGTGGAGGAATGGGCAACTAGCGACACACCTACTCAAGGCTACATTTTTTAAAACTAATCAAATCGGTAAATACACAAAATATATGTCAAGTTGCCCGTCCTGCAATCACGTGAAGAACTATTGTCGCACTCATTTGTGCCATGGCATTCATCACAGTGGCAAAGTGATTTTCAACACTCAGATTGTCACTTAACGTACCTAAAGAAATGACATTTTTATCTTATGAATTGCCATCATTTTTGTCTACTTATTTTTTTTAATTGTGATTATATAATGGCCCCTCTTGGAAAAAAAAAACTCCACCAGTCGCCAGTGATGAAAGGCTCCATTGAAATAAAGGTCGATTGACTCGCACTCATTTGTGCCATGGTATTCATCACAGTGGCAAAGTGATTTTCACACTCAGATTGTCAATTAACGTACCTAAAGAAATGACATTTTTATCTTATGAATTGCCATCATTTTTGTCTACTTATTTTTTTTAATTGTGATTATATAATGGCCCCTCTTGGAAAAAAAAAACTCCACCAGTCGCCAGTGATGAAAGGCTCCATTGAAATAAAGGTCGATTGATTGAGATGTTCGCCACGCAGGAAAGAAGTCCCCATCAATAACGGTGGGATGCAAATGGCGGAGGCGCACAAAGACAGAAAGAAACAGCTGCACTGTGATGAATGCCCTGCATTCATTCCACAGGAAGCTGGTTCATCTGTCACGACTGATGCAACCCTTCCACGCCAGTCTTACACGCACACGCACACACAGCTGAGCTCGTCACAAATGCTCCTTTGATGCGTCTTGCTGGGGGGCAAAGCCGCTGTCAACATCACATCCTCTCGACTTCCCGTTTTCTCAATAGTCCCCTCAATTCATGCGGCTGTGAGTGCCCCCCCATCTCCCACAAGTCTGGTCTCCTCGATATTTCCTCAACTCTCTGTCGAATGGAAACCCAACGTCAATTCGTCCCAAGTTGAAGGCCTCCTCCATCTGCAGTTAAGTGGGTGCCTTGATTAGGTGCCCCTGCTAGTCCATAGTGGACATGACATGGTTCATCATGTGAAATGACTTTTTTGGTTTGATGAGGTGTTTTGTGTAGACTTACTTGATCCTCCCTGATGACTTCTTGACGGGTAGACAAACACTCCCGAAAAAATTCCAACTCCCAAATCTTCACTATGGGTGGGTAGAATGACTTGTGTCTCAATACTTTTGTCCGTGTTATGGATGACTGCTTTCGCCTATACAGTCATACCTCGGTTTTCGACCGTAATCCGTTTCAGAAGGTTGTTCGAAAACCGAAACCACACTCTTAAAAAAAAATCTTTATTGAACACGTCTGCTCACAATGGAAAGTGATACGAGGAAGCGTCACTTCCTCGTGTAAGGAAGGCGAGAGGAGTCAAGTGACGCATTCAAGTGCGCTCAGTTTTTTCGAGAACCGAAATTCGGTCGTCACCGAGGCATAAAAAAAAAATCGAAATTTTTGGTCGAAAACAGAGACGTTCGAACTTGTTTGCGATCATCATCATCATCGAAGTGTCTTTTTTTGACCAAGAGCATTTTGAGAAATGGCCAACAATTCCTCAAGAGGTAAAATGCCTTGACTAAAGGCCATTTCTCCCCCCCCCCCATCCCCGGAAATTTAGCGTTTTTACTCCCAAAGATCATTAACCAAACATTATTTGCATCAAAATGAACAGCGTGTATAGAACCAAATTGTGTTTCATATTTTTCGGATTGGAAACAAATGAATGTTATTCACATTTGTCAATGATTTTATGTCCTGTAGTAAACACACGTCACTGTAAAATGTAAATGTGCATACAACTCGAAATATTGTATTTCATATTTTAGCCAAAACACATTCACCCAAAAACTATTTGCCTTGAAAGTACAAAAGCATGTTCTTATCTGTCTTGCATTGATCTTCAAACCTCTCTCCATTGTGTTTTGTAATTTCAGCCAAAAAAACACTATATTTTGATTAACTTTCCCAAATATTATATTTATTATATTATACTCTGTATTAATTATAAAACATCTGGCAAATAAAAAGCATGCATTGTCACATTTTGCATGATTTATTTTGGCCTGAGCTCAAAATCAGTTATTCTAAATCATTTTGCTGATAAACTTAGCGTTAAATAAAAAATGCATTCAATGAAAAGCATGCATCTCCCAAATTTCTGTTTTTAGCCAAAGCACAGTCGCCTTTTTTGGGGGGCTCTTGTCTACATTGAAAATGAAAATCTAGCTTTACTAGCTAGCGGTCAGATGACCCCCCTCTTGCTAACTTGTTTCGGCAATCGTAAACTTCGTTTGATTTCAGGAAATCAAATGACTTACCTTGAAGGCCAAACTGTCAGCATGACGTCACCAAAAAAGGTGTTCAAAAAACAAACCAACAAAGAAGCAAACAGTCCAGTTGAGCAGTCAGATGGAACTCACACGATTCTTTATTGCACACATTTTTGTTTCCCTTTTTACCTTTTTTTTTGGCGTGAGCAACAAAAGTGTCATTACATGGTTCATTTACCTCAAAATTCTCAGTCTAGCTCCACTATTGTCAAAACAACACAATAAAATTTTGTACTTCACATAATCCTCCCCCCATCCCACAAAAAAAAAAACCACACAGATTTTAGTGCACCACTATACGGTTAACAGTAAATATAATAGTATAATGAATTCTTTAAATGCATAACAGTTGAAAAAATGAGAAAAAAAATCCAGTGGGGCAATTTTTTTTCCACAATTTGGTAGCATTTTTTTAATCTTTTTTTTTTTTTTTTTTGTCGAGTGTGACCAACCTGCCGTTGAACTCACTGAAGGAATGTTTGTTAGCCAGAGACAAGGCAAGATGGACAGATGCGAAACGTTAGTAGGTCAAAAAGACACTCAATGCCCTGAGACGCGTCTTTTTTTCTGCAAAGAGACGGCGGCGGTGGGGGCGGTATGACATTGGCCGAGGATGACATACCCTGGTCCAATCAGAGAGGCACAAACTTTAAAAAAAATGATCACTTCCTTGTGCGTTATCTCCCTAAAAAACTTCTGATGAAATAAAGGGCGACAGAAAGTAGCACTTAAAGGATTTGTCAGAAAAAAAATTATCAGGGAAAAAAGGCACTTTTGTAACAGTTTAACAGTAAGTTGCGCAGCAACATTTGGTGCTTTGGAGGACAATTTGATGCTTGAACGTATGCATTGAATTTTGACTGGACTCGACACTTCTCTTAACAAAAAAAAAATTATGTATTTCCTCAAGTAGTGGCATTTATTTGTGGAAGGCATCTACTTGTAGAAATTATGATTAACCGAGGAATCGACAACTACTGGGTTATCAAATTAATCGTTAACCCTTTTGGGGACGACGGTTACAACAGTGGAAGGCATAAGTTATCATGTTACAGGGTGCATGAAAGGGTTAATCTTGATGATTGATTGTTTAGTTTTTGGTCGTTGGAATTTCAGCCACGGATTTTTTTCCGCTTTTTTTATTCAGGCCTAATTGTTTCTGCAGAAATGATTATTATCGTTGCATTTTTGAGGGCCAAAACATGAACAAAAACTCACCAAACTTGTGCAAATGTTTGATATATTAAAAAAAAAAAATGTGGCTAGCGCACCTTCAGAGGTTTAATTTATTGACGTTATTTCCATCCCAAGTTTCAAGAAGGCAGAGAAGTTGGAGGCAAGTCCAACTTGACTGAATTTTACGCAAAACCCCTCTCCGTGGGTCAAGGCTTGAATCGCAGTTCCTGCGGGCATGTAGCATGTTCCTCTTTGTGCTTTTGTGGGTTTTCTCTGGGTACGCCGGCTTTCTCCCAAATTTCAACAACATGCATTTTAGTTTCATTGAAGGCCCTAAAGTATCCAAATACTGCCCTACCATTGGCTTGCAACCCATCAACCTCGGACTAATGTTACAACCACATCACCACCCCACAAAAAAAAACATTAAAAACGGACGGACCATTTGAGGTGCAGCCACTATTCGAGGAAATACGGCACCTAAAAAAACCCCTGCAGATTTGTTCTTACAGCTACTAATCCAGTCTTGACAGGAGTTCTTAATAATTCACTTAATTTTCTATGAAGATGCTAACGCTGATGTTACACACATCTAATCCCTGTTGTGTGCTTAAAGACGACAAACTGAGCGATCGGGTTTTTTTTTTCTCTTTTCCTTTGTCGTGAGGATTTAACCCAAAACGAAAAATGAGGTAACAATGTGTAGGCGTCCCTGGCAATGATAATAAGGATTAATAATGAAGTTAATCTATTCCCGTGTGTGTCGTGACAATACGTCGAGTGGCGGGGGAGGGGAAAAAAGGAATTAAAAGCCAGGGATGACGCAGCAGTAGACTGACACGCTGGCAGTGTTTGAGACAAGAAAGAAAGAAACAACAACAAAAATAAGTTCCAATGAACAATAAATACAAGATAGCTGGAATCCATATTGGGCTTAAAATGGAAGCGGGGAAAAATATGGTCGTTTTGATCCCAAAGTACTTCATAGACTGCTTTGAAGCTGCGGTGTGGAACCTGCAGCCTGCGGGACATTTGTACTGTATATTTGTTTTATAAACGGTTGGTTACAAAAATATAAATAAAAAAAAAAATAGAGCTTCAGGAGTTGTCTTTGGTCGAGCTCCGAGCTTGTGCAGATGAAATATTTGGCTTTCATGGCGACCAATTACATTCATTAGACAAAAATCTCTTCACAATTTAGCATCATCCATCTGCGTAGTATGTGCGGGACACATTTGCGAGAACCAGTTTGTCTTTTGACGGACCCCTGAAAATGGCAAAGATGACCTTAAAATGGTCCCTTTAAAACTTTTGAAAATTATTTTCTGGGTTGACTCATTCGGCAGGTCGACCACATTGCATGTTCCAGTGGGAAACTGGCAAGATGAATCACTCCCAGGAAAGATAATGTGATTTGTATCTAGAGTGCAGTTCCATTATGAAGTGGAACGATTTTGATTCGGTTCGAGTCAGTGGGATTACGAATTGGTTCGATATGGTGCCGGCTCCGTTCCAGGGGGTACGACGCAATGACTTGTCGTTGAAGGACCTCCAAAATAGTCTTTTGAAAGCAAAACCCCAACCCTTCGCTGTCTTTTCAGGCATGGGGATGTCTTGAGACATTTTTTTTCTGGATATGTCTCCCAAATTGAATGTTCCTAAGGGAAAACTGGATCCAGGGGGACAATGTCCAAAAACAGTGCTACCTCTACTTCCGAAAGTCTCTTCATACGAAATTTTCAAGTTACGAAACATCTCACCAGGAAAGAAATATTACGAAAGAAATTTCAAGATACGAAAGGTAAAAATACAGTATGGGCTGCTACTCGCAGCAGCTCCGAGTTTCCTGAACGCAACATACTTCTAGCTGTGAGCGTCATCCTGGCATCCCATTGGCTAAGAGGGACCTCTACCATAAGTGTCTGTGTGTGTACATAGATATGTCGATGCAGCGTCGTTGGAAATTTTCAAAAGAGTTAAAAGCCGACAAAAGCAAACGTCCTTGGATCAGTTCTTGACAAAACGCCAGGCAAAAACCACTTCTGAGAGAAAACATGAACTAAAGAGGGTAAAAAAACGATGAGGGTGCAGTCAAGTTCAATGACCATCATTTTTATTCTTTGTTTTTTTTTTACATGATGCAATACTCTCATTTATTGCGCAATAATCGAATTGCAACATGTATTTGTTTCATATTTTGATGCGTTTTTATGCTTTAGGAAACATTTATGTCTGAATTTTTGGGGTGCTGGGGGGGTTGGAACGAATTAGGGCATTTACATGGAAAACGCGTCCCTACTTACCAACTTTTCTCGTTAAGAAATTTCTTCCAGAAGCAATTCATTTCGTAAGTAGAGGTAGCACTGTAATTCAAGAGAGACTCCCGACCTCTACTCTTGCTTTAAGCATTACGGAGGGAGGCTCCCACAAGGTATTTCGCTCTTCTCTCAAGAATGCGAGTGATGCAAAGTGTTCACCAGACAGGAAACAGCTGCAATACCAGCATAACCAAACTCCCTTTTTGATACTTTCACCGCCGATGACAAATTGATCTGCTCTGGGAAAGAAATTCTTCGGCGATGACCGTTTCGGGTTGGGGAAGTTTGAAGTCGAGAAGAAGAGCTCGTCACCGTCTTGCTAATTCCCAGGATTGCGTGACACAGAAGGACAAAACAAAACAAAACAAAAAAAAAAACGAGAAGAGTGGTCTCGAGTGGAGACGCAGCAGCGGTGTAGTTGGCGAGGGCAAAGGTATGAAGAGTGTCAGCAGATTTCACGTTTTCAGCACAGAGGTGAGAAATGCGTGAGCAGGAGTGAGGGACGCGTACCAACTCGTGCACTTTCCAGTTAGGTGGCGGCGTTGTCTCGCTGAGTGGAACCTGTTCTCATGGCAATTTAGTAGGACTTTGTACGACAAGTCTCACACTTGAGGAACAATTGTTCAATGTGATGAAAAAGGGCGATTTTACCGTTGTTTCATTTTGGGGGCGGGAAGGGGTCACTTACCACTTCACTATCAATGAGGATGACTGTGTCAGTATTTGGCGAGGAGCATTTTGGTGTCAATTGTCACAAATGTATCTACTACTGTACATGCACTGTATTTTCCGCACTATAAGGCACACCTAGAAGCATTTTCTCACAAGCCGACAGTGCGTCCTATAATCCGATGCGCCTTATATATGGATTAATATTCTGATTTCTTGGACGTGGTATTGAAAATGTTCTGTCAAGCGTTTTGTTACAGCTGCAGCGGTTGTGAAAGCTCTTTATCAATGAAGCTGTATTATATTGTATTCCCTTTAGCGTAGCTCCATCTAGTGGATGCATAACACAACCGCAGCCTCTATTGTGGCTTCTATCCAATGCGCCTTATAATGCGGCGCGCTATATAAAAATAATTTCAAAATAGTCCATTCATTTAAAGTGCGCCTTATACCACGAAGCGCCTTATAGTACGGAAAATACGGTATTTTCCCCACGGCTGTGTATTCTTGCTTTTTTTGCTCCAAATTCGAAAACAGGTCGAAAATAGTCCAGATCGTAACAAAAGGCTAACATTCTGGACGATTCCCTACATAAAAATGCATGAGAACACGTTAGAGTATGTATGTATGTATGTGTGTGTGTGTGTGTGTGTGTGTGTGTGTGTGCGTGCGTGCGTGTTTGCACACACATGTGTGCAGTGTCCACGAGTCACCATTAATTCTGTTAGTCCGTGAACCAGACCAGGTCAATACATTCATGAGACTGGTTAAAAACACAAGACAAAAATAGCGCGTTAGTAAAATTCTTACTAAGAATGTTTTATTAAAGTAAATGCCAAGAGGTTAATAAGGAGAAAAAAAAATCAAAATAACAGCATACACCATGTAAAACTAAATAGCAAGCATGTAAAAATACTTATGACAAGAGAAACTAATAAAAGTAGCTCATGAGTTAAACAAGCTGGGCATGAAAACAAAATATAACACTTCCCAAGGTGTAAAAGTGAAGGGGGGGGGGTGCGGAAAGGAGGAGAGTCAGATTGGGAGGGGGTGGGGGGGTCATAAAAAAGCACTCCGAAACATGATTAATACACATATAAAATGAGATTAGAAAAATACATTATAAACCTGTAACAATGGCTGTTAATTACATTATCATACATGTAGAGTAGGCAGGCCAGAGAGAATACGGTTATTTTGTTTTGTCCCCCCCCCCCTCCCCACCTTTTCATCACCTGATGGATGTTACCCAAGCCACACAACGTAGCGCGTAACATCGCAGGGGGAAACTTCTCTTAATACTGTCGAATGCTGTACAGCCATTTCCACTTATATTGCATTTCAAATTTTTTTCCTACAAATAAGAGCAAGAATAATGAGAGTAACACTGAAAACAAGAGAAGAATTTCATTGACCTTTTCGGCTCGATGAGAAAGCCATGAACGGAATCGGTAAAAATCAGCGTCGCCGGTGTTTTCAACAATTTGGTTCTTTTATCCAAACGTCGCAACGGTGGTTATTTGTCGCCAAATCGCGGTTGTTGAAACCAACGCGGTTGAACTTGAACAAATCCTAAATGTATTTTTCTCAGCTCATGATGCATCCGACTGCATTGCTACTATCAGCAGTGCCGTTTAATCCGATGAGGAAGTACGGCACGCTCACACACGCTCAAAACCAAAAGACTAAAAAAAAAATCAAATTTTAAAAATTCATACGATTCTCAAAAAAAAAAATCAAGGAGATCAAAGCCTGCTCACACAGCAGAGTAAAGGGCTGTCGAGTAAAAAGAAAAAAGAAATCGTAGGAAGACCAAAAAAAAAAAACAAAAAAACCCCAAAACAAAACAAAACCATGGCACATATTTAGCTGAGTCAGCTAATTCGGGTTGCATAGAGTTAACGCGGGCTGCCGACGCCACGCTCCGCTCTGCGCCATCTTGGGTGGGTGCTGGCATTTCTTTTTGTTTTTTACGCTTCTCGGAAAAAAATCACTCTCGATAAGGCACTTTTTGCTTTTATTTGATTCCTTCCTGTATTTTTTGATTTTTTTTAAAATAAACTCTTCTTTCCAGTTTAGTCCAGGCCAACAGCACCTCCTCACCCACGAGTTCTTTTTTTTGTTTGTTTTATTGTCTTTTTTTTTAATCAGATGTTTGTATCTGCAAAGTATCAAAAGCTAAAATTGGCAAAAATAGAATTCCTTTTTTCCTCTACTCCAGCACCCTGTACTGTAAAATTATCAATTGTTTTTTTTTGTTCGCTTCTGTGTATGTATTTATATATGCAATGGCGTTATGTACATTTTGATATATATATTTATGTATATGTATATAAGACGTATGTATAAAGCAATTTGAACAGGCAGGCATGGCTTTCACATCCTATTTTTTTTTTTTGTTCTTGAGAGAGTTCAACAAAAGGATCTCAGAAGATACGAGATGTGACACATTGTGGATGCGCTCGCACGTTGGCCTGACACAAAAAAATGGCCAAGTATTGAATTAAAAACGACAATTGGAAAATGGTGGGAGGGACCCTTCATTTCGATGCTAATCCAAGGAGTCGTTTTGGTGTTTTTGTTTTTCCTCCTCAGGAATAAAAAATTCAACCAAAAAAATAAAATAAAATAAGTAAAACAAAATCAAAATGCTAACTGACTGGCTTTCAAGGCAGGCACCACAAAAAATTCACACCTTTCCAAACTTTAAAAACAGCCCTCTGTGTGATGCAGATGCACAATGGCAGATAGCTCATCATAATTGTAGTAAAATCATCGGGAAAAAAAAAAACCTTTGGCTAAATATTCACACGTAATACTTGTTTTTTTTCTTTTTTTTTTTTTTGTCTTTTTGATCACAGCTCAGCGAACTCATTGAGATCTAGTTTGTTCTAAATGCATCAGGCACTGTAACATGGATGTAGTGGGGATGGCAAAGCCTCCTAAACACCCTATTTTCGATGTAGTATGTCAAGAAACACAACCATAACATTGAAAATTAAAAATAACAAAAGAGAAAAAGCACACACGCAAACGTAAACCCTTCATCCCAAGTTTGGCCCATCCCCGGCGTTAGCTTTAGCAGCCTGCGTCTTTCTTTGTCAATTTAGTCAAACAACAATAACAAAAAAAAAAGTGTCAACTGAATATAACACAAAAACAAACAAACAAAACATACAAATTGTAACCCCCAAAAAACATAAAACACAAAACTAATGAAACAAAAAGCGCATTATTGTTTTGCAATCGTTACAGCCATGCGGTTTTAAAACAAATCAAGACAGAAAAGCTTTTTTGTTGGGCTGGGCGAGGGTGAAAAAGGGCAGCACACCCAGAATGTGTCATAATTACAAATCGGGATGACAATTTCAACAAAGTTAAGGTGAGTGTTGATGTTCTCTTTCCTTCTGTTTCTTTTTCTTTTTTTAGGGGAGGGCGGGGGGTTGATACTTGGGACACCGCCCCACCACATTTCTTTGCTTTATTTTTAGTTTTGGAGGGGCATTGTCATTCTAAAACCAAATGGTTGGCGTCCAGGTTTGACAAAAATAGGGGGGGAGGGGGTAGCGGGTGGGTTCTCTGGTTGGCATCTTATTGCTATTTAACGTCAGTGCACATGTATGATTAACACCACAAACATCCCACCCGCGGCGCGTGACTGGTGGAGAAAAAGAAAGAGAAAGAATGGGAACGGAACTCAATGAACAGAAGAAAAAAAAAAAAAAAAAAAAAACGAGGAGCACACAACTTCATGTGGGCGTGACGTTTTTGTTGGCGTGTTAGGGTTGGCGCCTCCCTTCTCTTTCTTTCTCTCTCTCTTTAGTCACTGGGGGAGAGAGAGGCTAGCAAAAAGGCAAATTACCAGTTAACTGATCAGCAGGCAGGCTGGGGGGCGGCTCGTCATTGGGTGAAGAGTTCAGAGGTCAGAAGGTTCATGTTAGTTGCCGGTGGCGGCTATAGGTGGTTAGGAACAAAAACAAAAACAAACAGAAAAAACAAAGATAGAAGGGTATTAGTGTCAGCAGGAAGAGACTGGAATGACATCATTTTGAACAATTAAAAAAAAAATAACAATAAAAATGAATGCAATCTGTGATGTGTGGGCCCCACCGCCGCACCCAACCCGCCGCTGCCACTTAAGCGGCGGCGGCTGGTTGGATTTTGCGCCCAGTGCCCCGCAAAACCAAAACATAGAAGCAAAAAAAAAAATGAAAAAAAAGAGATGGACAGACAAACAGAAAAGAACTCGTGTATGAGGCCACGTCCACACGCAAACGGCAAAATTGACACGTGCCATTTCAAATGCGTGCTTTTGCGTTATTTTGCGATGAATCGCGTCACAATGAATGAAGCGGCGACGCGTTGGCTGGCCGGCGGCTCATTTTGACGAATGATAATGCCCGACGGAAGCGTGGCGGGAAGAATCGGAATGAATGCACAGCAACGGAGCGCTTCGTGTAAAACGTTGCGGCAGGGCAGACACCAGCTAACGTTAGCGTCAAGCGTTCCAAGTGTGAGCAAGGCTAGCTTGTCGAAGCAACTAGCTGAAAGGACAGACAAGCTTCCTTACATGGAACAAAAATAGCTGGGGAAGAGCTAAGCCGAACTCCCTGGATCGAGTGAGGGGAAATGGTTCCGAAAATGGATGGATTGTTGGAAGATATACTTGCCGGCTAGCATTTGTAATCGTTTTCGTCCGTGAAAATGACTTGACAAAGCCGTGTCACTATATCAACTTATTGTTCGGTGAGGAGAAAAAAATGGGACACGATAAATGGTCATTTGCATGCGTGTTTGTTTACATACATCCACGTTCACTCGTACTTTTATTTTAATCATCCTCAGGCCTGACGACATGAAAAGGCGGGATTGAAACGTTGTATTTGCTCAAGCTGCAACAGACGATATTTATACTATTTGTCGTATACACACACAAAAAAAAAAAAATCGAGATATATCACTATCGGTCAGACAAAGCGGCACATTATCGGCGATCGTATCGGGTGACATTTTTCATTTCGTGCATCACTAAAGTTTATCGAGTTTATCGTAGTTTCTTGAAGCAAGCCTCAAACACCCCAAAACAATGTCGCAAAAGCCGCTCGGTGAGAAGAAACTTTGGCCTTGATTTACGACATTTAATCTTAATTTTGAAAATATCCGTGTGAACGTGGCCTCGGTGTCTTTTTCTCCCCCGTGTGATTTGTGTCATATCGATCTAACGTTTCAAGACGAGTGTTAAAAGTGTAATAAAAGCCAATCAACTGTTTTCCGCTTTGTTCTTTTCCTCTTTATTTCGCAGTATACTTTTTATATAATATAAATATACACAAGAACCATAAATACATTTCGATATAAAAAAATATAAAATGACAGTACCTCGTGTACAGGTGAAATAGTAACGTTATATCTCGCGGTACACTGGAGGGAATGCAAAGCGACCTAAAGCTATAGGGCGTCTGTGTGACTTGAACTTCTGTAGAAAAATAAATCCCCCCCTCCCCCAAAATGGCTACTTTGCTCTCTGGGATGCAGTGAGGAATCGCTTCCTTTGCTCCTTGCAAGGCCAAAAAAAATGCATTTTAGGTGCCAAGCTCCCATTCAGAAGGAATGTCTCATATCATTGCCTGCAAAGTACGACCTGTACTGGCTTCACAGCTGCATGAACCAGAAAGCTGCAAGGATCACTTTTTGCCTGAGCTTTGAAAAATACACAGTGTACACATCCTTTTCGTGAAGGGCTCATTTGCAATGTGAAGGCATTTTCAATAGGGCCCAACAATCGGTCACGTTTCCTCATAACAAATGACCGCTTACGTGGCGGCTTGGATCAAAGAAAAACTTAACATTTATCCACAAATAATGATTCTCTCGCTTTCTGTGTTTATGGATATAAAAAAAAAAATGTATAGATGGATAGACAGTGTGTGCATACATATACACACAGTGGGGGTGTGGGGGGGGGGAGGCAGAGAGTGATGGCAAGCTAAACTAATAGCCAAGAATAGCCGAGCAACACGAGGAGCATCGATGGAAGTCGGCTGCAGCGCTCATCATCAAAGAGTAAATCCCAAAGTCCTCCAATTATAAGCGGGTGTTAATTTGTTGTGACTGTTTTTTTATTTTTAAAAGGGAGGCGGGGGGCCCTGTTAAAAATGTCTTATGTTTTTTTTTTTTTTTTGCAAATGAGCTCTTTGTAAGCTAAGGATTGAATGTAAACAAAATGTGCACGCCACAACGCACTATTGAGCTGGTGTGTGGACATATACTGTACGGGTGCGGCGTGGGGAGAAAACACAAACACATACGATAATACAGACAACACAATAGAGATTCCCAACTAAGGCATCGTCGTCGGTGGCATCGTCATCATCATTCATCATTCATCATCATCACTGAAATGCATCATTTGATAGCAGAGTGTAGCTAAGAGACTAAACTGACCTCTGTCAGCGGTCACAATCCTTTGGTAAGGATGGACCCGCGTGTCATGCCGTCTCACTTTAGTAGCCATTGCACCTAGATTGCAACAGGTCCACAAGGTTAGAAACCATTCACTTTCAACATTCACATTATTCTTTGAAACCGTTAGCATAACGCTGGGATATTACAAGACACTGGATAATAGCACATATGCACATCACATAGCTCAGATAGGAAAATAATACAGTAGAACAAAAATACACCTATTTGGGGATAGTATTCAAATATGCATAAGTTAAGTCATTAAAATTCCACAGTGCTCAAGAGTTTTGGGGGGAGGGGAGGGGGGGAGGAAAATAAGGGTAGGTGAAGGGTAATGGCTGCCGGGCTGTCTGGGAAAAATAATGCAATTCTTCCACCAGTGGGGTCCGGAGAGGGGATTGGGAGAAATTTGTCTCCTTATTTTTCAGAGGTGGGGAAATCCAATACAGGTTTGATGGTAATTGAATAGCGCCAGACGCCACCTGCCTCTCGCCGCACGCATTCGTTGCAACGCCGCCATTTTCTCGCGAGCCGATCAGCCTGACCGGGGGTTGTTTCCTTCCTGGAAACAGGATACGCCGTCCACGTTTGCGTGGCGCGTTCTGCTCAAATAGAGCGGAACCTCCGAAGGCCTACTATTGGGGATCTGCAAAACGTTCGCCCCCAGCAGTTTTGATTTTGCGGCGTCCGATTATGATGACTTTTGCTGACATCAGAAAGAAATAAAATCTCATGAATGACGTCACAGGAGATGATAGTATATCACACAACCTCAGTTCAGTTTTATTTTATTTTTTTTAAATTGGGGACGTTATTCACTCGCGTTTTTTTTTCACGAGCGGCAGCATGGCTTGGTCGGGATGATTTTACTTGTATCAGACTGAAAACTGTTCATTTCACCCACCGGGAGCCCATTTGTTTTAAAATGGGGTCGAGCTGCATCCCGGAACAAATTGAGTTCAAACTTTCGAGGTTCCACTGTATTAAAAAAAAAATGCACACGTGGAGGGATTCAAACACACGGAAGAGCCGCAGCGTGTGTCAAGAAATTCAGTGTGGCGAGTCTTGGCAAATACCGTCGCCGCCACCTACACGACGACTCTGAAGCGCCAGATGGCCCAACATTTCCCTGCTGTCCATAAAGCCAATGGTGGCGAGAGATAAAAAGTAGTGGCGGCAGGCGGGCGCATGGAAATGCGTGAGAAAGGCAGTGTGCGCCTTCCACGCCGGCCCCCGTTGTTGCTGAAGGCACCGATCGATCGAGTGAGTAAATAAAAATGCACTAAGCCGGTGTAACCCTGCGAGTTAAACAGAAAGATGCTGCGCATGACTCCCGGAGGCAGGGGGCAACATGCTAAGGTTCACGCTCCACACCACATCACAAGTGTGTCGTATTGAAGCGAGAAGAAGAATTTAAAAAACAGGCTTCGTGGATTTGTCATAAGGTTTCCGTGGACAATTTGGCGTCAGTATTACTCAACGGATGCTCATCGCTCGTCTCTTTGGTCAGCTAAAAAAGCACCATCCGGGACGCATGTAATATAGGCCGCGGTAGTGAACTGGACTCCGGGCACCGAATGGAAGGGGAAGCTCTCGGGTATTAGCGCAAAGCTCAGGTTCACCGGGGGTGAGGCTGAAACAACAAAGGAAGGCGAAGGAGATGAAGAAAATAAAGGACGACTGGAGGAATTTAATGAACATCCCCAGTGGGAGTGACAGAGGGACTATCTGCAGGCATCAAGGCCCGCCTGCAGCACAGGAAAAAAAAAAAAAAAAATCATTTCAGAAGCTGCAGAAATCCGAAGGGATCCACTGCCAGACTGAATATGCCTTCAGGCCAGTGCATGAAAGGGTTAGAGAGCGGGGCTGCGCGTACGCGAGCTTGTTTCTGTCGGGCCGCCTCGTTTCAGACGACGCCGAGTCCCGCCTGTGTAAACCTTGCCGAGTGGAGGCAGTGCGTACCTGGGAGCGCCGAGCCAAATTTAACTGTAAAGTAACCCTCTTGTCAAAGGGCTAATCATTCCCCTCTCCAGTTTTGACCTCGAATCAAAAATGTCCACATTAGCCACAGAGCTTCACCGCCTTCATCCACCCTGAGGGTGTCTTTTAGTTCCTCAGGTGGACACAACATATTTACCTTTCAAAAAGTCCTGACTGAGGCTCATGGAAGCCGTGTCCAGCACCCCGAGACTGGGGTAAAACAAGCTGCCCTCCTGTCCGGGCTGGCTAAAGTGGGCCGCCGTGCCCGCCGCGCTCATGCTCCCCCAGGCCCGCTTACCTAGAACCCCACTGTGCTCGATGGGGTACTCCAGCAGGGAGGTGGGCGCCAGGGCGTAGGGGTAATCGTAAGGTGTGGTGTAGATGAGCCCGGCTTCCGGCGTGGGCGGCACCAGAGTGGGGGTGCCGTTGGGCAGCATGGCGGCCATTTGAGTGGGCCGGATGAGGTTCATGAGGGGGGCCCCGGCGGGAGTCGGGGGCCGGAGCGCCGGGGGCGGCAACACCTGACCTGTGGGTGCCGCTATGAGGCGGGGTCCCTGAGCGGCCGCCGCCGCCGCTGCAAGAGAGAACGCAAGGGTGGCTGCCATAAGCGAAGAGAGCGAAGGACAGAAGTGGAAAGAAGACAGAGGACAAGAGGTCGAGCCAAGTGGCGCCGATGGTTATCACAGATGAACAGTGAAGGGTGAAAATACAAGAGGAGGAAAAGAAGAGAGTTGGCAGGGAGAGAGGGAGGGAGGGGAAGGG